GCTGCTTTTGTTCTGTTCGGAATGAAATGAAAGAAAAAGTTTTTTTTGTTCATACATCAACAAAACAGAAATTGAAAAAAAAGAAATAAAACTTAAATTTGAAGCAGATTGCGAAAATAAAAGTTTTTTTTTGTGCTGTGAAATGAACAGTCGATGATTTTTCATTTGATATTGTGAATCAGTGCAATGGCATGTGAAGTTGAATGAGAGTTATTTGGATTGGTAGTTAAGAATTAGAAATAGAGATTGATTTTTTTGTGAGTTTATTGCTTCGAAGTATTTGCAAGGTTTGCATGATGTTAATTGGGAACAGGAGGAAACTCATCAAATTTGTTATTGACTTAAGTTTATTCCCGAATTTTGACACAGGAAATCTTGACTACACTTAACCTATACCTAATTTAACCTAAACCTAACCTAAAGCTAATCTGAACCTAACCTAACCTTAACCTATCCTGAATCTAACCTAAACCTCATCTAAACCTCACCTAAACCTAATCTAAACCTAATCAAAACATAACCCATACCTAATCTATACTTAAAATATTCATAACCTCAAAAATAAAACTTTTCCATTAAAATTTTTTCAGCATTATTTTTTTCCGTAGAATTTATCTTTTTCTTAATTTCCCCTCTTTAGTTTTAAGTTATAGCCTCATAAATGTTTGTCATTATAAAGTTGTAAGTCATCAAAAAAGCCCTTAAACTAGTTACAAAGAATTCAAAATAAAAAATAGTGCCAATAAAAAAAAATTACATCAAAATTAGTATTTTATTGATGTCGAGTATAAATTTGCCGAGCGACTTAATGTGAGCTTGGCAATAACATTTTACTGGCAGATAAAAGAAAAAAAAATCTATTTTTTGTGATATTAAAAATTTATGAATAATTTATAAGTAAAATCGGTAAAATCATAAAAAAATATTCCCTTTGAAATTAAATCTTTAAAAACAAAAATTTGTAATTTGAAGACTCGGAACTTAGAACCTTGGGAATCTATAGACGAGTTTTATGAGATTCGATAAGATTAAGTTGTCTTATCTACAATATTAATTAAGAAGGCTATAAAAATCACTATTTTATTCAATTTAATAATTAAGTTCCGTTTTTAGATGGAAATGTATCTTAGTCTGAATATTGAATATTGATTAAGGAGATAAACAACTTTTGAAGGTTTGAAGATTGATAATATTTCATTTATTTCTAATATTTAAAAATTTTTGTTTGACTTCTAATTTTTTTAAAGTTTTGAACCTAATTTTACTTAAATCTGACTTAAGTTTTGGGTTTATTTGATCATCTTTGATTTAGGTTAGATTTTATCAAGTTAGATTAGTTATAATTAAGTTCGGTCATTTTGAAATAAATAAATTTTTGATTAAATCAGATCAGTTTTGATTAAGTTCGGTATATTTCGAATCAGTTCGGTATATTTCGATTAAGTCCAGCTAGTTTTAAATAAGTTCAATCCGATTCAATCAATTTTAAACTAAGTTTGATCTGTTTTGATTAATTTGGATTAAATCAAACTAAATTGTAATCTAGATCTTGATCAAACCAGATTAAACTAGAACTTTTTTACTAATCCGCTAATTTTTATTCAAAATCTAATCATTTTGATTAAGTTTTGATAAAATTTGTCAAAATTCTTGTTCAAATTTCTCATTTTTCCTCTTATTTGTCAACAATAACTTAGTTCAAGTAGAAAAATCTGTAATAAGACTAAAGACATCGCTTCACATCCAGAATTCTTTTTTTCATTACAAAACATTAATTAACAATTCAACAAAAAATAATTTTCATTAAATTAATGATTTTATTTTTCATTCATGCAAATTAAATTGTATAAAGTCTCCAACCAAATCAAAACCAGATCCACTGATTAAAAATAAACAAAAGTAACCAAGAAGGAGAAAAACTTCTACTTGTTTGTCTCGTTTGTCATTAAAACTGGAAGAGATTAATTATTGACAAAGCAGCCAACACTTCAAACGTTGTTAAGGAATTCAACCTTTTTTTTTGCATATTTTGAAAAGTATGTGGCTTTTTTGATATTTAAATAAGAACATAACAGTATTAAACAGGAGCTCAGAGTTGTACAGTGGGTATGGTTTAATAAAAGGGGTATAATCAGGATTTTTCGATCACCTCGGTGCATTTTTGGATGATAGCACGTGACTAAATGAGCCTAGATGAGCTTAGATTAGCTTAAATGAGTATAGATGAGCTTAGATGAGCCTAGATGATTTAGATGAGCCTAGATATAGTTACATGAACCTACTTTACTAAACCCCTAGTTTTTATGTTCTAAGGCAGTGATGGAAAACCCGCGTGCCGTGAAAAAAATTGTGATATTAAACGAACCGTATGATGTGTGCGGTTTTGATCATGGCTGACCACCAAGTATACCGTGGCAAAAAAAAGTTGGACAACACTGCTCTTAGGCAGTCGTTATTAACCTTTTTTGAGTCATGATACCACTTGAGCCATGATTGAAATCATAAACCGCATACAGTTCGTGGAACTTCTCGAGTTTATTCGCAGAACATAGGTTAACCATCACTGGTTATAGGGATTTTAATCTTACTCTGTTAATAAGTAACAGTCATTCAATATGAAAGACATATACACAATAAAATATAAAAATGTGAATGGCATGAACCACGAAGAGAAAAAAACTGAATAAATTTATCGATATAATCTCTTGTCATGTAACAAAGCTGATTTAATGAATTATGAGTAGCGTAAAGCTCGAGCATGGGGTCATTGTCGAGGGAGAGTAAGATACAAACAGCGACGAAAAATTAAAAAAGGTTTCCCCGAGTGATTTAAAATGCAAATCGCATGTATAAATTCTGCTTAATTTCTGCCTATCTCTTTGACTTCTTTTCATTCCTTTAATTTTTTTGTTTTGCTGCTAATATATCAGAGACACAGAATCGCAAATGTCCTCTATTAAAGTTTCTTATTTTCTGTTGTTGCTCATTCCACTGTTATTCGACTGTATAATAAATTTGATCCCATAAAAAACGACACTAAGGAAATTTATGCTCGGATTTTTGTTTTGGTTATTTTGAACATTTTTATTTGAGAAAATTTTTAAACTTAAATTAAATTGATAAACATAAATTAGCGACACATTTCTTCTCTTTTTTCATGGGCAAAATATTGAAAAACATTTTTTATTTTGGGGAAGAGGAGGGCTTTTATGTTTTGTGAATCATTTTGAAGACGAAAAGAATCAAAAGAATTGAAGAGGAAATTTATTGAAGTAGAAGAAATTTACAACCAAAACAGATTGTATTTTAATTAATTGGATTAAAAAATCTTGATTTAAATAAATGTGTAAGCTACTTTGTTGTTACTTTTATAGCGAGGGGAGTTGTTCTGCTTGCTGAGGATTGATTTGATTTTTTTGTCAATTTTATTTCAATTCCTTAAAACTCATACTAATAAAAAAAAAACATATAGGCAGATTTAACAGTATAATATAATTTAATGTAATGTATTAATGTTTAATAAGTTTTATGGAAGTTGGACTAATAGAGAATAACTTTATACACGTACATAAAATTTAACTGAATTGATACTCATAGTTTCATACCCTTAAAATAATTAAAGTTTATTAAAGTTTTATATCCCTTAAAATAATCTTAGATTATATTAGTTTCATACCCTTTCGAATAATTACTAATTATAATTAATAAATTAAGGTTGTTAAATTTTCATTCCCTTTGAAATGATTTAAAGTTTTCATAGTTTTACACCCCTTGAAATACTTTGAGGGTTTTTATAATAACTTTATACACGTCCATATAATTTAACTTAGGAATTCTGTTTTTAAGCTTTGACTGATGCTGATCTAATCTGTAATGCCGTAAGCGAATACTTGACATATCTAAACACTTTATATAATGGATTGAGGGATCGGTCTCTGGTGGAAATCAAACCTACGTCCTCACAAAAGAGTGATACAGATTTGGCCTTACTCTCGTCCTGACAGATTCGCCTATTTATAGTTCGATACCCCAGATTCCACTCTGCTCAGACACCAAACTATCACATCATCAATTCAGATTACCAGTTAAAAAATCTTAAAATTTAACATTCTATCGCAAAATATTCAATGACTCATTCCCCATTAATTAAGTTTCATTTTAAAATAAAATATAGCATCCATTAATATTTCAAAAAATCATCATCATTAATTACTATATTGCGACATGCGTACTTTTAAGTGAGAATTTATATTCTGTAATGACATGATTTAAAAACCTTAAATTGTATTTTTTTTTCGACATTCTTGTTTTTGTACACAATTTTTTAATTAATTTTATTTTGATTCCTTTAAATTGTTTTTTCAAAGTTTTAATGACAATATTTAAAGGGGAATTTATTAAAATATTTTGAACAGTAATTTAGTTGATTAAATTTTTTAAAGTTCACAATTCTTTTAAAACTTTATTGTTTTTTTTCAAAAGTTATTTTTTAATATTTTTTATTTTGTTAATTTTATTTGAATATTTTCAAATTTAGATTAGACCAGTGATGCACAGCTCGTGTGCTGCGGCACACTAGTCTGACCAGAAAAATTTGGGATATCTCACAAACCGTATGCTGCGTACGGTATGACTTACTACCAAGGTGTGTCGTGTCTCATAAAAGGTTGTTCACCACTGGTTTAGACAAGTATTATCCAAACTGTGTGTCGCGGCACATTGGTGTGCCATCCATTTTTGAAAATAAGGTGTGCCGTTGCTCAAAAAAGGTTTTCCACCACTGGCTTAGACCATCAGACACATAGTAAATGTTACTTCCGTACTGTATCTTCCAAAAAACCCATAACTTACAGTAGAACCTCCTTAATACATCATCACTATCAAGCACTTACTCAACTCTAATATAAATTACACATATCAAGCATACTGAAGTGCTTTAATCTAATCTTCGTTGCTTCTTTTCCTGTTGATTAAATGTCACTTGCCAAAAATTAAGGCTTTTCAATTGTAATTCTGGCATTTCATTTCAAAATAATTTTAAAGCTGGTGAAAATAAGTTAATTAAGCTAAGAAAATGAAGGTTTTAATTTTTGTAGCTGCCGTGTTGGGTGCTGCTTCAATGGTAGGATGCGATTTGAGTGTTTTTGGACTTTCAAGTCATAAAATTAAGAAATAATATTCAAATAAAATTTTAATTTTTTTTGCTTATAGTGCACAGCCATTACACAAGATCAAGTCGATCAATTAATGGACTTGAACTTTATGTTTGACATCCTACACAAAAACTATGACCATGAAATTAACAAGGCATGGACCCAACAAAAACACAACATGAAAGTCTTAAACGCTCAATTTTTATCACGCTATGGATTCAACATTGATGAAATGAAGACTAAAGAAGGCGAAGTTCTTGAAGCTATTGAACAACGTGGAGAGGAAACTGGTTCGTAAATCTAATGATTAATTTTTTCAACAATTTTACTATATTTTTTTGTATCAGGCAATCCCGATTCTGAGTGCATCCAGTCAATCAGGTATGGCCTCACAAATGCCGTTGGATACGCAAATATGAACTATGCAGCAACAGTAGAGGAAATATTGTTTTACTTCAATCAAACAAATGACAGCTTTTTCTATCCAAATGTTGAAATTTTTCACTTCCAATCAAACTCATTCCAATGGGAAATTTTGAATGCTTTATTGGAAATTAATCCAGTCGCTGATATGAGTGGATTGATTAGACGATTAATGGCTGATTATTACATCATTTTGGAGATGTTTGAGGAGGCAGTCAGTAAGTTGATTGGTGTTGGAGTTGACTAGATTGTAGGACATGCTTAAAATCAGGGGGAGGTTGGGGAGAAGGGTTGGGTTAGGAGTACGACCTTAACTTAAGAAACCGGTCCTAAGGCACTCTTCTGAAATTTTTTAATACATAAAACCTCCATCATTCAATAATAATAACATTATCCTAATTCCTTTCAGACACCCTGGCAAGTGACATCCGTGAATATGACCGAGAATTCAACCGAATTCGTGGATCAATCTTCCCAACATTCCAAAATGTCCGAGATTATTTCTTCTTCACCTGTAATTCATTGAAAGATTCACTGTCAAGATGTGAATAAGCACTTATAAGAGCCATACATCAATTAATTATAGAAAGATTCAAATATGCAATTTGACCCAATAACATGTAAAGCTGAATAAAGATCAAATTTACCTAAAACTCAATTTCGAGGAACTCCAATCAAGACCGTTCAAATAATTATCATAAAAATATTTTTATGCGAATTTATGGTAATTAATTTTCACCAAAAAACCCATTATCGAGAGAATGTTATTCAGCCTCGCTCCCATACCGACGGATATGCTTTTATCAAATAACACAGAAATTTTATTTACTGTTCGTGTTTCAGATTTCATGAATGACGGCTTTAGTGAACGATTAATTGCTTTTAAGATAAGGCTTTTTAGGTTGTTTAGTGTTATTGATTTTGGATTTTGTTGTGATTGGGGAAATGGATGGGAATTGGTGATTTGTTTTGGATTTTAAGAGGTTTTCGGAAGAGTTTTAAGAGACTTTTTGAGATTTATATTTTAGATGGAGAGAAAGAGACGTTAAAAATTCAATAAGAGTTGATTTTTTTTGCCTTTAGGTTAGATCAATCGATAATAGATTTTAATGGAAATTGAATGCTGTAATTCTTATAAGCTTTTTTAAAACAATTGTGTATTTTCATAGTTTCATTCCGCTTTGAAGTAATTAGATTTTTATACTCCTTGAAATAATCTAAGCTGATTATAAAATTCATAACCTTTGAAGTAATCTAAGATGATTTTAAATTCATCCCCCTTGAAATAATTTAAGGTTGTTAAAGTTTCATACCCCTTGAAATGATTTAAGGTTCCAATTCGACCATATCAAATCTCTCTAAAAACCAAAAATACTTCTTAAAATCTCTTCACAAAACCCATAACAGCCCATCTCTCGACAATCAACAAGAGAATCACAAAAAAATAACAGCAATTCAATTTTAAATCCCCATTAATTTATCAAAATGTTTCTCTTAATTAATTTTCATTTAACTCTTTTATTTTGATTTCATACGGACAACTTTTTTTTGCTCTTTGTAATATTTTTTGTGAATGTTCTGGTGTGGACCCATTCGGAAATAAATTACTCTTGATAATCTCGAGAAAGGCCAACGTCTATGGGGAAATAATGGTGTTATTTTTTTTTTAAAAAGTAAATAATTTTTGCTGGCGCCTGACTTTTAATTTGTGAATTTTCAAGGAAATTCAGACATTCTAATTATTTTTTGTATGACTCAAAAGCAGTTCAAAACCAAGACAGAAAATAAACTTTTTAGCAGAAAGGAAGTAGAATGGGCTGGATGGATAATTAAAGAAGATGCTGTTTGCTTAAATGTTTTACTTCCATAAATAAGAAAACTTCTCTCATCATTTTCAATTTTCCGTGCTGAATTTCAGTTTTAAAATGGAAGACGGAAATGTTTTAAGAATTTCTCAGTTCCTCATAAATTTATGAATTACGGATGTAGAAAATATTTTCATCTTTCTTCGTTAAATTGCTATATTTTTTGATGGGATAGAAAAATCTCAACTGCAGATGAACATTTTTGTGTCGGAAAAGAAGGGTGGAAAATGATGAAGGAACGCTCATGTTGAGATATAAAATTTTCATTTCAAAAACATTGAATGGATAAAGTTTGAATTTGTTTTGTGTATTTTAAGTGCTGCAGTTTAATGGTTTTTTGAGCATATTGAAGTTTTTGATTAATAAGAGTTCTGTATATGTTGAGTCTGACTAAGTTTGTTGTTTGCAGTGATGTTTGAGCTTGGATACAATTTAAGGAATATAATGTCAGGGGTTTGGACCTAGGCGTCTTTAAAAACAGCCCATGTTTCTGTACCAATATTATCTGCTAATGCAGTTATTGCTAGTCCATGTGCCGCGACACTCTAGAACAAATTCGAAAATTTCCACAAGCCGTAAGCCATGTGCGGTTTTGGTCATGGCTTAACAATCAAGGTATGACTTGAAACAGAAAAGGTTTGCTACCACTATGCTGTATATATAATGTCACAACTGGAATTTGTTTCTAGGGTTTTCCGGAGCCCACTACTAGAATCTCTGATGCATTTTAATCATAAATCGTCTTTTAGAGCAGGCTTATCCAAACTGAGTGCCACGGCACACTGGTTTGCGGTTTATATTTTTTGGAAATGAAGCGAGCAGCATGCTGTGTGCGACTTTGGTCTTGGATTACCCCCAAATCAGTGTTTCTCAAACTATGTGCCGCGGTACACTATATGAAAATTCCAGGCGTGCTACATAAAAAAATTGACTTGAATTCATGTTTTATGATTTCATAAAGGTCATGAAAATAATTTGGCGTACTCTTCAGGTGTGCCGTAGACCAATAAAGTTTGAGAAACACTGCCCTAAAGTATGACATGGTTCAAAAAGTTTGGACAACACTGTTTTAGAAAATCAAATTATATTTTTAAGTACCTTAGAAACTAGCGCTTGATAGTAGTGTCACGGAACTTAGTTTAGAAGCACTGTTATAACAAGATTAAGCACCTTTAACCTGACATTTGCCAGAAGTTTAATTTTCGCAAATAATTCCCCAATTTAAATTTTAAAGCCACAATAAAAACCTCTTAAAATCCTCATTATTCAGCTCATTCAACGTCCATTTTCTCGCTCATTCTGAATTAAATTACTTATTAATATAAAAAAATTAAATAAATTAAATAATTGAGCATTAACACCGAATATGAAAAAATATTCATCATCGCCACTATTAATTGAATCAATCAACTTTAAATTATCTCATCATCATCATCGTCATAATAACAACAATTTTTTTTTACTTCATAAATTCAATTCTGACTCGGTAGCCGACGCATTAAAGCATTAAGAGCTTCACAATAAATGAACATTTCCCGAAATGTCGAGAGACGAGAAATGAATTAATTTTTTTTTATTATGTTTTGATTTCATTTTTCTCCTACTCGACTGCCTGCTTACGGTATAATCTTCATTTCACTTTCTGTATTTTCGTTCGGCTGATGACTTTAATTCCACACTTACTTACTTCTTCTTTTTATTTTTTTTTTCTGTTTCATCTTGTCGAGTTTGTTTTGCTTTTCATTTTTATTGTATGAACTTAATGTGTACGAGAAGCGAAAGAACCGTAAAGAAGAATTACAAATCTTCCTTTCCATTTTCATTCTTTATTCTTTAATGCCAAGGCAATATACCGGTACAAACGTATGCGGAGTAATAAGATGTGCCATTTAAAAATAATATAAAGAAATAAATAAGTTGTTTGTGATGTTATTTTTTTTATTTAATCTTTTATTATAAAATATTGCTTTATTTTCTTCTTGAGTGCATTTTGTGAGAATTTGAGAGGCGCCTGAGGTTGAATTTTGGGTGACTGTCCTGTTGCTTTTAGCTCTACAGTGTGGATTGACTCTACTGGAGACTAGAGTGTTTCATCATATGTAAGTAAATCTGCAAGTGTGAGACTATGGCCTCTGTGGTCAAGTAGCTAGCTTTAAGATCAAAGATTCGAAATTTTTGGTATCTCTCAGATGTGAGTTCGATTCCCACTAAAAGACTGAATGGTAGACAATTTTGCAGAGTATCCATATTGCTGGTTCCAATGGCTAAGCTCAATAGCTTAGTGGTCTGAGCACTTGATCAGCAATCGAGAGGTGCTAGGTTTGATTCTTAATATTAATAATTCTTAAATCTGGGTTACCATCTCAGTGTGTAGCGCATAATCTTCACTAAGCAGTTGTGTGTCCAGCAGCCAATTAAAAATGTTTTTAGATCTTAGAACGGGTGTTCATTTCGGCTCTATTCCCAATTTTCAGTACATCACAATGTCCACAGGTCCGTTTCAGTAAAATAACTCAATTGTGAATTTACGGCTCTCGTATCTTTCTCATTCTGTCAAAATAATTAATTTGAGCCATTCCTACATCTCACATCGCCTTTTAAGTCTTAAACTGTTGCAACTAATAAACCGAAGTATTTTAACTTCTCAAAAATCACTAGGCTGGTGGTGGGATTCGAACCCGGGAGTCCAAATTCAACACCAACTTTTGTGATCTGTACCTTACCAACAGAGCTATCAAGGCACATTTGCTTCTTACAATCAAGACAGTTAATCGATCAAAAATCCTGTCATGGAGTCAAATTTGAATCAAATCTAGTGGCATACTAGAGTCACGCCGATTTGGTCGGATTTCTGGTAGATTAGCTGACTTGTGCTATTCAGGATCTAAATGCAGAACAGACAAAATTGTCAAAAAACATCCTTAGCTTGCAGCAAAAGACATGCAAGAACGACAGTCACTTTTAAATAATTATTTTCTCAAAAAAGTCTTTAAAAATTCATCTCCAAAAAAAGCATTAATCAAAATAATTTTACATTATTTCCATAAAAATTCATCTTTCAGAGCCTGATTACTTTATGTTGCATTCACAACAGCGACTACTTTATCTTCATTCAATTTATTCATGTCTTATTCAAGATGAGCTCGAGGAAAAAAAAAATGTTTCATACAGCACACAACAAATTCTTCTTCTTCCTTCTCCGTCTTTCTTCGTCGACTTCATTCATGTCGTAGACAGAATGTCTATGCGGCTCATACTCTTATGTGTATCTACATTTTTTTTTCTTCTTTTTTTATTTTATAAAATTACGTAAATTGTGCCACATTGACTACGTCGAAGAGATGATGATGATGACGACGATGGGTGATATTATTATAGCTCTCAATATACATCCACATATGTGGAGGCACAAGAGAGAATGAAAAGAAAAAAAAAATATATATATTGCGGTGCGATAATACGACGCAAACGAGTGAGAAAGGTGTGTTTATCGACGGTGTGGAAAGGTAGCAAAAATTAAAATGAAATAAACATAAACATCAAATTAAATTGCTTTTTTTCTTTTATTAAATTTATTAAATCTTTTTTCCTCTCTTCGATGTCTGTTCTTTCTGCTGAATATAATATTAAATGCGCATTTGATGTAGGCGATTTGACAGAAGGTGAAATGTTTGTCTTATATTTTTTTTTTGAAATGTCACATTGAATAGGTGCTGAAGCAGAGAAATTACGAGATTGAATCTTTTTTTTACAGAACAATTGTACGATTTATTCTTGGAAGTCGACAAAGTTATGAAGAAGATTTATAAAAGGTTGATTTGCGTTGTAATGTTAGAGACTGTAGATATTTGTTTAGGTATATTTACAGAAATTTGAATTAAAGCCATAAGAATTGTCAAACAAAGATTGTTTTCGTAACTTATCCTAAACAATTTAGATGATTTGGATGTCACGTAACGATAAGAGGTAGCAAAGAACACGTTTTTGAGGTTAGGGAGGGATAGGGAGGGATAGGGAGGGATTGGGAGGGATAGAGAGGGATAAGGAGGAATAAGGAGTGATAGGGAGGAATAGGGAGGGATAGGTAGGGATAGGGAGAGATAGGGAGGGATAGGGAGGGATAGGGAGGGATAGGGAGGGATAGGGAGGGATAGGGAGGAATAGGGAGGAATAGGGGGGGATAGGAAGGGATAGGAAGGGATAGGGAGG